AACGTAATATTGTTGGAGTTTTCTAACAATTTGCTGTTTGCATTATACTCCGTTTGTTATCTCCTCCGAAATTTATTTCGCGATCCAATTGAACTTTACTTATCGCTAGTTTTTTTTTTCTTATTTATTTTGTATAAACCATTTTATTGAACAAAAAATTTGAACTGTATTCATTACACGAGTGTATCGATACTTTACAGAGGCATATTTTATTTAAAGTGGAATCATGCACATGGAATTATATCAAAAGTTATCACGTAAATTTCGTCGACTTGCAGCAAATATAATTTTCCTAATCATCCTTAGTTCTGTTTTGGCCTGAATTATAACTTGAGGGGAACATGGTTGGCTATCTGCCACGGTGCATAAATATGTCGAACAGCTATGTCATTTAATAAGCAGCATTAGCATTGGCTCGATTCGGCTTTTCCAGCAACGAAGTCTCATTAAACATTGCAGTGCTACGCTAAAGTAAATTGAAATTCAGCGCTGTGGGTCGCCTTCTACTTCGATGACAGTTATGCAGGATCTCGATTAATGAACCGTTGGTTTATGTGCGTCCGGCGCGTAAACTTCGTGAATTTATGGATGCTCTATACGTTTACATCATGATTTACTGAGGCGACCGTAGAAGGAATACCTGCCGAGTATATTACATTCATTCTATTCATACACCGTGCCGTGCACACATATCTGCCTACTATCCGCAGTTTAGCGCAATCGGGGCAGCAAGCTTACGAATGTGCTAGGTCATATTTTATTGGTAACCGAGGTCATGATCTGAATGGTAGTATGTCGGAGAATAAAGGAGAACAGTTATACCACTGGCGCGATGTAGTATTCTTTTGAAATATATGTCTTTTGTAAAATGAAATTGTCATTGAAATACGAATAATCAAGTTTGAATGATTAAGTAATAATATAATAGCTTGAATGAGAAAGTAATAGTATAATTATCTTTGCGCATAATTTGATTATCGTTGCGCATAATTTGATTATCTTTGCGCTTATTTTTAAAATTTCGAGAATTTCTTTCAAGAAAAAAGAGAAATATATTGAAGCTGTATTTGATTTTTCATTATTTAGTCTTTTACATGGGAGTATATCGCCCAACGAATTTGCGACCAACGTATGGACACGTCGTACACGTCGTTTAAAATTGACACATTCCTGCTGCTTGCAGCCCGTCTGTCTGCACACGAGAAAGATAATACATGCGCCCATCAGTATTCGTTCGAACTCAATATTGGTACGCGGAAGGCGTGCCCGCCGCGACGAATTTCCATAGAGGCTCCTGCAGACAATATGGAAATGCGAAACTGAAAAACAACCGAATCTGGACGTGCCGCTTTCCCTCTTTTCCTCCGCTTTCGCCGACGCGTCTGCCATGTGCTACCATGGAAACTCAAACGAAAATATTTGGAACCACAATGAGATTTTTGCAGACGGTGCAAATAACTTATGAGCGTAAAGCTGCTTTTCGGATTTACATTACTAATTCGGGATAATAAGAGACGTCAGCAGTTTAAATATCTGCTTTTGGTCAGTTTCGAGTTGTTTCTCATGTTTCCGAAAGGGAAATGCTTCAAGCAACAATGTTCTCGAGATATCTCGTATTTGCGGTTTTGTGCGCGCTCATTCTCGTTGGATAATACCAGCTTTGCAACGATCGATGCCCACGCCATCGTGGATTTCTGACGCGTTGTGTGCCGCCATGTATTTCCCATATACATAGCACAATCAGGGGCAGGTGTTTACCCGGTCTGATTAACGTTGTTTCTGCACTACTACTATACTACAGCCGGCAAAATATGGCTGACTATGTATTGGATTTACCACTTGATGACTGGCTTTCTAGGATTTCTGTGCGGATTTATTACATCTCAGTTCAACGAACTATTATGGTGTTATCAACAAAGCATAATCTCAAAATATAAATTTTGAGAAGCTATCAACATTTATTAATTTTCTTAAATTAATGTAAATTGAATATTTAAGATAAATTCATAGTCGATATATAGGATGCTCTCTCTCTCTCTCTCTCTCTCTCTCTCTCTCTCTCTCTCTCTCTCTCTCTCTGTGTGTGTGTGTGTGTGTGTGTGTGTGTGTGTGTGTGTGTGTGTGTGTGGCGCGCGCGCGCGTGCGCGTATGTGTGTGTCTAAATGTGTATATAAAATATGGATTATTATACATATAGTTGAATGTAATATTAATTTTTGCGCAATATAAAGTTACAAAGAAATAAAATTTAAAAAATTTGAAAATATAAAATAAAAATTTAGGTTAAGATACATATTTCCTAGAATGATGTTAAAACGTCGGTAATGTCATTTCCCGTCGGTTATTTTTCGTCGTAGTTTATCCTGCAAAGTGGCGCCATCAAGGTATATTTTAACAGCGCCGTCTGCTGGTAGAGTAGCTTAATCGATTAAGGGGTTGCTTGAAAGAATACAACCCCCTTAGTTCAGATGGCGCCAACGTATGTCTAATGGTTTTTCTTTATTATCCCAGGGTGATCCGAATAGTCATTTAAATTTACAATTAGCAAACATACACTGAGAAAAATATTTAGAAAGAAATTTATTGATTATACAAAATTTGTAAACTGTAATAATGAAATATATATTTCTGTGAAATATAATATTTTTCCTATTAATTGTAAAAAATTAAATAGATAGTTTATTTGCTAAAAAAAATTTTATTTTGTCATATTTAAATGAAGATTTATTAAATAAATATTACATCCTACAAATAAATCTGTAAGTATCTTTCTCAG